CCTCATCCTGTGCTCATCCCCCAACCTATGGTCATCCCCATCCTGTGCTCACCCCCAACCTATTGTCACCCCCATCCTGTGGTCACCCCCATCCTGTGATCACCCCCATCCTCTGCTCACCCCCATCTTCTGTTCACCCCCCTACTGTGGTCACCCCACGACTCCCACCACGCCACACCGCCACACCACCGCACCACGGGGGCCGCACCCACCACCCCCCCAGGCCACCCCCACGCCCCGGGGCCGCTCACCGACATCGGTGAGGGCGTGCTGCAGCTCCAGCGTGAAGGCGGCCGTGGGCACCTCCTCGCACACCGGCAGCACCGCCACCGTCGACAGGTTGCTGGTGGGGTTGATGGGCTCCGAGCTGGAGGCCACGCCCAGGCCGGACCCTGCGGGGGGACACACAGGGTGGGGACGTGGGCACGGCCGCGCTGGGGACACCGGGGAGGCCACCCCGCCGCGCCCCGGACCCCGTGGGGGCACCCACCGGCGAAGGACGGGCGGAGCTGCTGGAGGTTCCCCAGGATCTTCTGGCTCAGCAGGTGGATGAGACGGGTGACGACCTGTGGGGACGGGGATGGGGACAGGGAGGGCGTCAGACCTGGGAGGGGCTCGCTGACACCCCAGACTAGTGTGCCACGTGGCTTTTTGGGGGCCACCACCACTCTCCATCCTTGGGTACCTCAGGTGCCACCAGCCCATCCTTGGGCACCTCAGGTGTCACCACCCCATCCTTGGGGACCTCAGGTGTCACCACCCCATCCTTGGGCACCTCAGGTGCCACCACCACCCTCCATCCTTGGGAACTTCAGGTGCCACCACCCCAAATCCTTGGGCACCTCAGGTGTCACCACCCCATCCTTGGGGACCTCAGGTGTCACCACCCCAAATCCTTAGAACCTCAGGTGTCACCACCCCATCCTTGGGGACCTCAGGTGACACCACCCCAAATCCTTGGGGACTTCAGGTGCCATCACCATCCTCCATCCTTGGGGACTTCAGTGCCACCACTCCAAATCCTTGGAACCTCAGGTGCCACCACTGCCCTCCATCCTTGGGCACCTCAGGTGTCACCATCCCATCCTTGGGAACTTCAGGTGCCACCGCCCCAAATCCTTGGGCACCTCAGGTGTCACCACCACCCTCCATCCTTGGGGACCTCAGGTGCCACCACCCCAAACCCTTGGGCACCTCAAGTACCTGGGGAGTCTGGGGGGTACCTGAGGGGTCTGAGGGGTACCTGACGGGTCTGGGGTGTACCTGGGGGTACCTGGAGGGTCTAGGGGTTACCTGGGGATACGTGGGATGTCTGGGGTGTACCTGGGGGTGTACCTGGAGGTACCTGGGGGGTCTGGGGTGTACCTTGGGGTACCTGTGGGGTCTGGTGGGTACCTGGGGGTACCTGGGGGGTCTGGGGTTGTACCTGGAGGTACCTGGGGGTACCTGGGGGGTCTGGGGGGTACTTGGGGGTATCTGGGGGGTCTGGGGGGGGTACCTGGGGGTATCTGCGCTTGATGTTGTTCAAGGTGCCCTCGGGCAGCTTGGCCAGCTCCGTGTCCCTCACCGCGTGCACCGTGGTGGCCCGGGGCTGCCTGGTCAGGGCCTCCACCTGCAGGAGAAGACAGGGAACCCCTCGGGAATGACCCCTCCAACTCCACAGTTTCAAACTAGGCCGCACTAGGCCTCACTAGGCTGCACTAGGCCTCACTAGGCCTCACCAGGCCTCACTAGGCCTCACTCCACCACACAACGAGAACCGACAGCAGGGAACCTGCATCTTCAGAACCACCAGAAGGGAAAAGAGCAAAGGCTTCTCTTCCCTTCTTCTTTATACCTTGTGTTATGTAAAAATCGTAAGGAATACTGGGAACACGGCCACTTCCTTGGTTACAAACCGGTCACCGAGGAAGGCCTAGACTAAAACTACCACACAGGTCCAAACCACCACAGCTACGAATCTCAAAGCGTCAAGTGAAGGCCCGAGGTTGTCCCCATGTCATGTCCCCACGTTGTGTCCCCAGCCCAGAGCTCACCACGCCCACGAGGTCCCCACGGCCGTACTCCCCCACCAGCTCCTTCTTGCCGCTGCCCTTCTGGATGACGGAGCGGAGCCGCCCGTTAAGGACGATGTAGGTGCAGTCGGACTTGTCCCCCTGCCTGCGGGGGTGTCAGAAGTTTGAAAAATGTCAGGAATTTCCTTTTTTTATTTTCCCCCAAAATAGGTGCCACTATCAGTAAACCTCCCCGAAAAAAAATAGGGAGCTGGGTTGTGGTAGTAACGCAGCCGTGTGTATATGTGGCTTATTAATCTAATAAGTAAATAAATCATACGGACCCAGCTGGTTTGGGGGTTCTATGATTTATTTAGTTATTATATTAATAAGCCACAAACGGTGCCCCACGTTGGGCGCCATTTATGGCATATTAATATAATATGTAAATAAATTATATGGACCCGGTTGGTTGGTTGGGGGTTCAGACCCAAATCCTCTTTATTCCAATAAGACAACACTTTATATATGCACCTCAAGGCAACATGTGACTGCCCTGACCAATCCAGGGGATTAAACAAGAGGGTTTATTCCTTTTCCACCTTTCCTCTAGTCAAGCCCCACGATTTGGGCACCAATTAAATGTCTGAGTTTAACAAGATCGCAACTTAAAAAAATTAACAGACTTCAGACGGAAGCGTGGAAAAGGAAAAGAAACAGCTTTTTATTAAAGAAATCTGAATAAATAACAAATGGTGCAACCAAAAACCCACCTGTAGAGCGCCCGCCCGGCCTCCACGGCCATCCAGTCGATGGCGAAGTCCATCTGGCGCACGAAGGGCGACATGCGGGCGGCCACGGTGTGCGCCACGCTCAGCACCACGCTGGGCTGCTCCCGCATGATCCTGGGGGGCGACAGCACAAGGGGGAACACGGGGGTGGCCCCGGAAACGACGCTGAGGTGGCCTCGGAAATGACACTGAGGTGGCCCCAAAGGTGCCACCACAGCAACCCCAGAGATGCCACCACAGTGGCCCTGAAGAGGTGACCACAGCAACCCTGAAGATGCC